TTTTTCCAACTATAGTCCGAGGGACAATGTCTAAGAGACAATGAACTGGCCCCCCATTTAAAAAGTTTCAGGAGCCCTGTGGTAGAGTATAACTAACTGGGTGTGAATAACACAAACAGTATCCCAGAACCTCTGGAAACCACCTTGTTGGAAAACACTACTTAATGATTATTGTTTCTTTAATTAACAACTTTATCCATATAGTTTCTTTTCTTTTAATTGTTTCTAGTTCAACAGAACGGAAGCTTCAGGAATGAATTTTTCTATAATAGAAATAATCCCCTTTATTATGTGGGGGAGGAGGAGATTTATGTAACACATTTAGTTAATTATGTTTTTCTTTTTTTCTTTTAAGTGAAACAGTAGTATTTTTCTGTTTTTTAAAAAAGGAAATAACCAATTAATTTCCTCTATAAGTTACACAAAAATATTAAAGTCAATTCATCATACTTATGACCCAGGAAGCAAAGGGAACGGCAGAACCTGGAAGAAGGATTAATTAATATTGCTGGTGATTTTTCATTAATAGAATTTACTAATGAAAATTTTATGTCAAAGATTTAGGCAATGAGAAAAGGCATCCAGGAATTATAAAGTGTTCATAAAGCAATAATAAAAGCACATATTTATAAGTATAAACACATGTTAATTTCACTTCCACCAATAAACATACAAGTCCTAGCATGGAAACAGTAATGTGATTTAGAGAAAGGACTTTAGGCCTTGAAAATAACTTACTATTCAAGTTAATATAAAAAAGTATAAAGCTCTAAAACCAAAATGAACAGCACAATCCTGTATATGTTTGCTTGGAAAATTAAAGATAGGACTGAAATCTAAACAGAAAAAACAAAATAGCAAATAAACTGTAGAATGTCATACTTCATCTTTCATGCAGGTTAGATTTCAACCAGAGGTCCTTGGTACTCTCTAAGCTTGGTTGTTGCATCTTGTTACCTAGTTTGGGTAATGAAACATCTGCAAGAAAACAACTAAGGGACCCTCATTTCAACCCTGAGCTATAAATATTCTCCTTTTCAATATTTCAACTTACAATTTTCTAAGAAATCTGAAGGAAAATACATTTTAAAGGTTTTTTCCGGCATTTTGTCCACATCAGAATAAATCTTCAATTTCATTGCTAAATTGAGCAATATCAATGGCAATAATTATTAGAAAACAAATCAGCCTGTTTTACTAGCAACTTAAAATGGCCATTCTGCAAAATATATGAAACACAGTAGCAAAATAAACAAATGTGGATAAAACATGCAAATGTTTTATATCAGATAATGCAGAAAATGCCAAGGTAAAATAAATTTTAAAATCCAGTATTAATATTATTCAGTTCTTTTATTTAGACCAGTGCAATTGTTATACACATTTTCTGCAAGTTGAGGCACACTTCAATGGGCATTTCAACAGAATGCAATAGTTTATAACTGGCAGTTCTGGCCATGTATAATATGTAACCTTAGGTCAGTTAAAATTAAACAATTTTGGTTTATTTGAGACAAGTGATTGAAGGAATGTTCAGGGGAAATCATATCTCTCTACACTCCCATAATCCCCCTTCACTATAGTATTCTCTAAGGAGAATAGCTTGCTCTCCAATTTATCTCTGTAGCTCACAAAGTAAATTAAAATTCCCAACTGGAAAAAAAAACCTCAAGAAATTACAGATGAACTCTCAGACAATATAAAGCAGAGAACCACCTAAGCCTATAGAATCTTATAAGCCTTATAAAAGTTGGAAAAACAACTCGACATAAACATTCTTTGTCACCAGTGGATAAAGAAGATGATTTCATCAAATATCAATCTTGCAATCAAGCTCAAAACAAGACTTTCATAGGCTTCTTGATTTATACTTTAAATATATTTAAGACAGTGCTATTACTTTTTAAAGCCCTAGAGTCAAGCTCCCATGGTGGAATACGTTGACTATGAATTATTAGTCAACTGAAAGCTGCCTTGTTCTCTACCTGAAGCTACACTGTCTTGTCTATGTTTTAAAACAGCAGATCAGAAAATAAAGCACACAAATATTCTAGCATAAGCATGCTGCTACATTAGCAGCCCATATAAAGACTGTATAAGTGCAATTAATACAAAATAAATACTGAAGGTCTAGTAATAATGAATAAGCATTTTAATGCTTTAGAACAGTGGTTCTCAACCTTTCTAATGCTGTGACCCCATAATATAGTTCCCCATGTTGTGGTGTCCCCCAACCACTTACACATAACTGGGTACCAGGGGCGTGGCCAAAGAAAAGAGGGGGAAAATGGCGGGTTTGGCAACCCCCGTGAAATGGTTGTTCGACCCCAAATAGGGTCCCGACCCACAGGTTGAGAACCACTACTTTAGAACTTCTGCTGTCAGTATTGCAACCTGTTATAAATTCAGTTTCTCAATATATGAAGGGGACTCATTAGGTCAGGGGTTCCCAACCCCCAGTCCGTGGACTGGCACCAGGCTGCAGCATGCCAGCAACCGGGCCATGCAAACAAGCACAACCCCATCCGCAGGATGCAGGTAGCACATGAAACCACACCCTCTCTGATCGGCAGAAAAATCTTTCTCCACAGAACCAGTCCCTGGTACCCAAAAGGTTGGGGGCTTCTGCACTAGGATATAACCACCAGTGCTTCCAGTTAGAGTTGGACAAAATTCTTGTACTGTAGTACAATTGAAGCATTTTTTTGTAAATTATTAAGCTCTATTTAGGTAAAATTTCAATAGATATTTCTGAGTCTGACTGAAAAATATTAAGAGCAAATAATGGGGAAAAAATTAGTGTATCCTGTTGTAAACTTAAGACCTGCCACTTTTATTATATGTTTATGGTTCTTAAATTTGGACCAAAGATGCGATGAAGAAAATGTTATACTTAAACTCTTTTCTTAAATTGCTTAAAGCACAGAATCCTTTTGTCTTCAAATGCACTGTTGTAAAGAACCAGAGGAATGAAACACTCAGACCACAGCATTAATATTGCTTTTTATGTTCCACAGCAATTAAAACATTTGCTTTCCTGACAGAAAAAAATGTAGTTTTATGAATAATTTCTGTGTATGTACTTTTCCCCTTTGTTATTCCCCCAGTCTTCAAAAAATGAATTGCTAGATTACAACTACAGAACAAGTTTATTTGCTGTGAATGAACATACATTTTGAAAATGCGCATTCCCTTCTTTTTGAGAATAACCAATGCAGCTGTCAGAAATCTGCAGCCTGTTTTCCCCATTACTGATTACTTTGTACTAGACATTGATCATTGCACCTCTCTTGTTTCTCTTTCCACAAGAAAATAAAATATAAAGTAAGTTCTAAACTAATTACCATATTAATGTCAGAAATTAAAGTTGGTTGCACTTTTAGGACTGAATAAAACCTTCTCTACTTTTTGATTTTTCAGAGAAGAAAACAAAATTATATTTATAAGCAGCTATGAGCTAGTATTTCAACCATCCTTGTCTGAACTTACTTAATTTTTCTATTAATTCCAGTAGGTAAAAATGGGTGCCAAACAAAGATATTGTAAATGTTTTATTTTCTAAAAGCTGCCTTTCTGATTGTTAGGTTCTCTTATGATTTTTATACCCATTTGATGCTTAACAAGGATTAATCATTACATTTCAAATTTGCAAATTAGCTTCAAAGCAAGCAAATACTTCTCAAACATAATTCAGGAATTTCCAAAAACAGCAAATAAAATGCTAGGAAACATGTTTGGAGATCTCCAAATTATGTTTCAAGTTCTTTCCATAGCCAAAAGCTTGATTCAAAATATGCAGATCTGATCTTATTTATTTTATTATAAGTCCTTGCTTTTCTCCTAAGCTTAAGTGTAGTTCTCAAATAGTTTGCTGCATCAAGATTGCTGAATTTAATATGACACCATTTTTAATATTTGAGGAGAAAAAAACCTGAATGGCCTCCAAGAGTTCAGAGATGTCATATTTTCAAAACTTCTCACAAAGGCCTGGACTAGGACTATTCTCAAGTCAGGTTTAAAAGAAGTCCTATTGCTTCTAAACTTCATGTTATCCACACCAATCATTCAAATTAAACAAAAGCACTCTATGAGGAAGAAGGAAGAGCAGATATTTTAACACTGGGATGTTAGGAAAAACTTTACAATGATTCAGTACAGTATCACTATCCAATCAGTTACAGAGGCAGCTGGAATTATTTTAAAATGAGTGCAGCTAATTCTAGCAGAATAACATCAATGCAAAATATTCCCAGCATAAGTTTAGATTTCCTCTTAAGCTTGAAATATTTTTTTCTGTTTTTCATACATTCTTAAAACAGGAAATCTACATCTTCTCTTGGATTACAAAACAGAAAGAATCCCGCAATTGTAAACATTTGCACCAATAAATATGCTGAACATCTGTGCACGATTGTAGCAAGACTGCAATCTTACCACCTACTCCTGGGCACGAGGGACTTGAGTGAATAAATAAAACTGTGAGAAACCATGGGTTCCTAAAGTTGAAAGCGAACACCCTCCCCCCCCCTTTTCAAGAAGGAGGTCATTCATTTTAACATACAGTGGTATAATCCCATTAAAGACTAATAGAAAAAGAAATTATACAGGCTGCTATTTGGTGAGAATTAAATACAAATTAAGAGCAAATGCTGCTGAAGTTTTTTTTTTAAGAACCACTATACAATTTCCTTAATACTTGCACAGTTTAGATGAACAATTTTCATTCATTCACACAGTTTATTCTAAATATAAAAAAAGGCACCCCTTAAGCATTTTTCGTAACAAATTAAACATTTACGTTTTTTAGTGTGTAGGGAGGCTTAGCATTCAAGCAGCTTCAAAACCGAAGCATGGCCTCAAGGGAAGCCTCTCCGCTGACAAATTAATACCTTAGAGAATAGGCCTGAATGGTGGCAATGAACTCATTTGTTCCCACAGTAATGAAGAATGACTCTTTCTTTACCACATCTGTGACTGTTGCTATGGTGACCCAGACTTACCTCATTGCTTCTCGAAGGGCTCCACGCTCACTCAGAGTCGTGTGCTTGATGTCATCAAAATTATTTTCCAGTTTCTCACAGGTCTGCAATAATAATAGTAATAATAATAATAACATAAAAAATATAATGCAGACAAAAGACTCTGCATAAAAAGTAGCATTTTCAAGTTGGGCAATTCCCCCTTTCTAGGGGGCTAAATTGCCGCCATTCATTCTCAGTGCAAACATAGCTGATTATATTGATTACATATTCACACAAATTACTCATTTTTGCTTTTAATTGCATAGCAGTAATTAAAAATGACACTGTGAACTCAGCAACAAAGTACAGGTGAAATTTGTACGGTTGCTATGGCAATCCTCTTATCAACATTTTATTGGGGGGGGAGAATAAAATTTTCTTCTTAATGTGTGTACATGTTTTTCTATATGTAAAACAGTGAAAGGCACATCATCAAATAGTTCTGCCAAAAAACATAAACATACAAAAGAAATATAATCAGCCATACGTTAACATCATAGGAAAATGATCCAAAATCCAACATTTCTTAGAGTACATATGAAAGCCCATTTGATCAAGTACTGTCCTCAGCTAACTGTAAAAAAGAAAGAAAACTTGCTTCAATGATGACTGAAACCCTAAGTGAATCAAATTAGTCTTCTTTGCCTAGAACAGATGTGCTCAGTATGTTCGCAATCTAGATCTTTGTGGTAAACCCACCGAAAATTTGCTGCTTCTCCCTTGATTGTTATGTTTTATTATAGCTTGAGGTAGAAGTTGTAGTTAACATTTCAGACAAAGGCTCCACAGTTATTATCTCTAAATGGGCTGCTGAAACTAATAAAGTATTTACTAGCCAAGCCATATGTGCAAGATTAGTCCCAATGATAGCAGCAATATCCCGGTTATCTGATGGGTTTGGAGTTATTGTCATCTCACAGCTGAAGACCTGTAAGGAGGTTCAAAATATCTGCCACACAACGGACATTATGATCCATTTAGTTGTTTTCAGGGGCACCACCTGCGAGAAATATCTGCGGTGGCTTTTCCCCAAACAAACGCAGTTACTCCAAACCATAACAGTTATAGAACCACACCATGAAATTACCTACTCTAGACTCTTTCCCTCATCCCAAACCAATGTATACAAATACATTCTCAGAAGTACAAGTACAGCCTGATCTTCTGTTAACAAAACAGCAAAAATTTAAGGAGCAAATTTAAGATGATTTCTCTCTTCCTAATGATCGCCCTGATGCTATTTTTTAAAAAAAATAAATTCTTATACATTCTCTCTTTTCACTATGATTCCTGTTCTAATTTCTAAGGTGACCAACTTTTTTACAATGAAAAGGAGGACACAAATAAACTGAAGTAAAAAAATATCGTAAATAAAAGAAACATTTTATTCATTGCAACAATAATACAGACAACTTGCATGTGCAAAGTTTGCCAGCCGGGTGTTTTAGGGCGCTCAGCAGCAATTCCTATTGGCTTTTGAAAGCCAATAGTGGGAGTAGCACAGCTCATGCAAAAGTTGAAAAAAAAAACCCATCAAAAAAAGGTGCCGGAACACCGTTCAGAGCGATCTATGAGGGGAAAAAAAGCCCTGCAGAGTAGTCTTCAAATATCGAAAAGGAGGACATGAAGGAGGACACTTTTTAAGGGAGGACAGAATTTAGAAAAGGAGGACTGTCCTCCCTAAAGGAGGACGGTTGGTCACCTTATAATTTCTAATTTGGTATTCTGTAGCTATATCATCTCTATATTCCTGATCTTTTCCTTTCTTGCCAAGTGCTTCTTAAGAAAGATAAAAGGTGCATTTCAGAATACGTTTTGATTGAATTAGTTATGGACTCCAATCATCCACAAGATATGATAAATTGTTAGTGGAGAAATGACCTGAGCCTATTCACATTGAAGCATGCTGTAGTCCTGTTGTTTGAATTTAACACTTTAATACACCTCTTCAAAGATGCTTTATTCACCCAGAGCAGCTAGATTTCTTCAGTCCCTTGGGAACCAGATCAATCTTTATCATTTTCTTTCTGGATAGGAACTGGATTAGTGAGATCACATTCAGAAAAATTCTCTCTTTACTTCTCCTGCAAAGAGCAATAAACACAAAAGAACCCCAGAATCAGGGGTATTCCATCCCATGAAGAGACATCAATGAAGCATAAAAATCCATCTTTCTAGGGTTCCTTTTAAGCCTGTTCTCCCCCATTAAGACCCTCATAGCCTCCAGCACAAGATCAAAACATCACCAATCAGGCCTTGTTAGACCTCTTTCAGTGGCTTCATGACAATGTTAAATAGTGGAGAGGATCAATCTTGTAGCACCATCAAGGAGCAGCCACTGATCCAATCGGCCTCTTCCATCACCACTAATAGGAGCCCCTTTGCAGTAGAAGAAGCAGCATCACTTAACACCTACTGTTGATATAGGAGGATATTATGATTGACTATATTAAAAGTTTTAAAGGGATGTAAAGGAACAAAGATGGATGAGCTACCCTCATCTAGATCAGTGGTTTTCAACCTTTTTAATGCCGTGACCCCAACCGGTCGTAAGTCGAGGACTACCCAACCGGTTGTAAGTTGAGGACTACCCAACCGGTCGTAAGTCGAGGACTACCCAACCGGTCCTAAGTCGAGGACTTTCCCTGCCCGTGAGCACCGCACATGCGTGGTGCTGCCCCCTGCGCCAGCCGAGGTGTAGCAGGCAAGGGGCAGCGACAGTGCAGGGCAACCACCGGCTAAGCCACCAGCTGGCCCAGCCCAAGGGAGGTAAGGCGCACGCCGGGCCCCACACGCGCCAGCAACCCTCCCTGCACACGCCGGCCTCCCACCTCCCACCCCTGGCCCTCTTTTACTTACATTTTTAGTAGTTGCTCAGCAGGGAGGGGTGGAAACTTCCAGACAGCTCACCTTCGCTGCAGACAACTTGCAGCACCGTTTGCAGAATGGGACTTTTGGCGGGCTCAGCAGGGCAGAGACAGCCTGGACAATTCCTATTGGCTTTTGAAAGCCCATAGAATTAGACTCTATTCAAGAGAGTCTATTCTATTGGCTTTCAAAAGCCAATAGAATAAAAGGGAGTAGCACAGCGTTGTTTGGCAACCCTCATGAAATGTTCGTTTGACTCCAAATGGGGTCGCGATTCACAGGTTGAGAACCTCTGATCTAGATCCTTATAAAGGGGATCTACCATAGCAACTAAAAGGGGAAGGTTGGAGATCAAGTAATAATTTCTAACACCTCTCAACCAAGGGATGTCCATAGCCTCCTTAATGGCCAGTAGCAGTGTTTTTCTCATAATGAGGCATTATTAATCTCTCAGGTCAAGTAAACTACTACAATTGCACAGATAGACAGGAGAGGCAAGGATCCAGTCTATAGGTAAGAATTGTTGTGTTACTTTCTGGGCAAACAGAATATTATGCAAAGCCAAGAAAAGGAGGAGGATATGGTTAACCCAACGCAATTAAAGGCATGAGATAAGAAAAATAAAAATAGTTAAAACTAGTGTTTACCAATACACCACTGAACATCTTGATACCTTCCAGTCCTTGAAAACTATCCTTTAATCGCATCCATAGATTGCTTCATCTTTTTGTGTGGAAAAGATCTCTTTTTCAGAATCTTATCAGTTTCATCTAACAATTCCTTTCTTCTTATATGCCATCCACTCTTCCTTCGTATATTCATTCTAAAAGTTGATCTTTATTCAATCTCACTAAATAACTCTGTGAACTTTTTTCACATTGCTTAGTCACTTTTTTATTTAGGCCACAGTTGATTGGTAATGGGAATTACAGAGTGTTGTCTTTATTACAAAAGAAAGCATACTTAAACTGCTTTCTAATTTGCAATCAATAATTCTACTCCACTATTTTTAGAGGCTTAACTATTCTATGTTCCTAATTTACTTCCAGTCTCAAATCTAATTCTATTTTACTATTCTTAACGACTTCCCATTCTTACATCCCTACTTATTTTCTGTAACAGTCTAATATTCTCACATTTCTAATCTGTAATCTCTATAACACATTTCTAATCTGTAATCTCTATAAAACTTTGTATTTTAATTTTTAGCTGTACCCTGATCCAATTATTGATGCTATCAACAACCACTCCCCCCTGCCTGTTGTCAGCTTTTTAACCTGAGCTCAAGCATCTTGTAATGGCTTTTGCCACATTTGCTTCTGGTTCCATCTCTGTTAGCTCTTCCAGTTTTCGCTTTCTAGCATGAGGTCTCCTCTTTGGCCTGCTCCAGCCTGACCCTTTCTGGTCTACTCTTTCTTTTAGAAGCCACACTCATGCTTCGCCCTCTTCTGTCACAGCTGTTTTACAGACTAGAAGTGGTTCTTAACCTTTTTGAACGAATCGCCCCCTTGAGCCAATGAGGAAGTTGTCATCGCCCCCCTCCTCCAACATAACCTCTCAATCACAACATAGGAAATAATTCTTCAATTTATGCAAACACTTTTTTTTTGTTTTCTTTAAAATTGTCATCTGGACATATCGATGCAAATAATTTATTTCCAGTCTTTTTCCCATATCTCAACTGTGTGAAAAATTTTGGTGCCACCCGTCACTTTATTCCCAAACTTTGTGATACATGTATTTCATTATTATCTTATTTATTCAAGACACTTAAATGTAATGACCACTGAAAACAAAATTCAACTGTAAGAAAGTGAAATGCCCGAAAAGAAAAACATTAACATTTAATGATTGAATTACAAGTGAAATTTAAGACGCAAAAAGAAATATAAAAAGGGCATAAGAACAAACCGCAATGCAGGAACTAAGAATTTCAAGATGAAAACTCTGAAACTAAATTAAGATTCAAGGAAAGTATATATAGTCACGCACACTGTAAAAAGGATTAAAAAGACACAAAGAAAATATAATATCGAACTGGAGTGCACGCTAAAAAAGTAGAATACAAAGAGACACACAAAATGTTTTAGAGTACAACAAAAATTTGAAAACGAAGCCGAAAACTCAAACTGGAACGTGAAATCCAATACAAGCAAATACAACGATAAAAGCTCAGACAATTATTAACAAAAAA